AACTGCCACAGTTTAGCAAAACAATGAACACAAACAACCTTGGGAGGAAGACTGGGAGTTCTTGCCTCGGGTTACAATCTTACCAGCAGCAGCTCCAGCAGAGGTAGCCTAAGGTAAAGCAGGAGTCTGTTTCCTTTCATTTGGGTGTCCATTAGCATCTAAAAAGGTCCAGGTTTTGCATTTATTGTGTAAAGTGGTCATTGAAAGAATTAGTCTATAATTCACCCAATCATCAAATAAAGCTTGATCAGAGCTTATGTACAGATTCCTGGGCTATATCTAGAGAAACAACTGGCCACCTCCAAGAGCGTTTATCAGTGGCCTAGGGTGCCTGATGAGCAATCAGAGTTATCAAGAATTGCTAAGTGGAATCCTATTCTTAAGCACAGACATAATTTATTCACAGATTTTTTTTTAACTCTATTTTGGTAGTGTTGCCCAACATTTTATGATTTATTTCAGTAAGCCAGTCTTGTTTGAATGTCAATTCACTTGGTGGGCGACAGGATGCCAGTGAAAGCAGTCCCCAGTGTTTTCCTCCAGGTGCGTGTGACAAGTCCAACTCCTCTGATGGACGCAGCTTGCAGAAGCTGAAGGAGAGCAAGGGGGAGAGGAGAAGGCAGTCTTGTTTGCACAGGCTGACATGGCGGGTCTGAGATGGACAGGACTCACATCCTATGAGATGTGTATGGGAGTGTCTAACACACAGCCCCTGTACCAGACTGTCCTTCCTTGTCAGCTCTAACCCAAGGCTTGTCTACTGTGTGTACATGAATTCACTCTGCTCTAAGGAGAATGAACAATTTAGCCGTCTGTAAAAGAAAAGAACACTCAACCCTAGGCATTAACCCCAAGTGTGCTGGGAAAGGAGGCAAACTGATGGACTCAGCTGGTCAGCTTTCACCCACTGGGCACCCACAGGTTACGTCTTCATCACCCTAGTCAAGCAAAACTTTGTTACTGAGCATGCGGATGCCTGCATTAGCAGAGAACTGATTACATCTGAAGCATACACACCACAAGGCTTTTCCCTGGGAAACCTCTACTCCGGGTGTCTATCTTCGGGGCTTGGCCCCTCATTTCCTTCAGGTCTTCCTTCACAGGCCATCTCAGAGGTTGACTGCTCTATGGAAACTCATCCTCTTGAATCTTCACCCCTCTCGGGAGTGTGGCTTTCAGCACAGCATCTGTGCTTGCCCAGTTGATTGTTTCTCAATTGGTTGACTTTGTTCTCCTAACATGTCAAACTTGTCAGCACCCTGAGGATCACCTGTGAATCAAAATGTCCAATATCCAAACACACTTGAGGTGAAAAAAATGAATAGGAATTTGTATTGGTAGAGAAGAGATATGATGAATTATTTGCATTTTTTACTTTAAAAGACTTAATATAGCTTAATGGAAATTAATATCTTAAAAGTAAAGGGAATTTTAAACTAAATATATTTAGTCAACTCCTTAAGCTAAAACACACAAAGTGACTGCAGTTGTAGTAGGATAGGGGAAAATGTCAGGTGGTGGTTCTCATGCCCCATGAAATTCCAAAACAACAATAATAAATTGTACTGTATATTTTAAACTGCTGTTAAACGTATTGTAACTTTTAGGCATTTGTCAGGTGCTGTCTTAACGTCTATTTTTGGATTGTCCTTCAGTGTAGTATAAGCCACTTCTGAATATGGCCTGTTTCCTACACCTTCTGTAACGCTTCCATCTTCTCCTATAATGCTTATGTCCACTACAAGCAGTATAGAACTAGAAAACATGCTTTATGCTTATGAAATATCTACATGGAATCGGGTATTACATATGCACATGTATGTGTGTTCTCTTGATATAGTCTATACAGTTTTGGTTTTTGTTTTGTTTTTCCAGACAGGGTTTCTCTGTATAGCTCTGTGTAGCCCTGGCAGTCCTGGAACTCTCTCTGTAAATCAGGGTGGCCTCAAACTTGGAGTTCCATCTGCCTCCGCCTCTCCCGTGCTGGGATTAAAACTGAGTGCCACCATCTCCCAGACCTCCCAGAAGCGTTTCTTAATCAAACAGAGCCTTGCTATTGACAAAAGATCATCAACTGTCATAAAAGGTTAAGATGGGAGAGAACCTTTTAAAATGCACACAGAGACAAAATGTCCTTTTTTCTTCTTTGCTTTAATGAATGATGACATCAGCACTGTAGAACATACACAGCAGAACATTTCGATCTGAAAAGTTCACCGTGGAAAGGCTGGCTCTGGGCTGTGAGACAGCTGGGGGAAAGGCGCTGGCTGCCAAGATTGACACCCCCAGAAACCATAGGGTAGAAGAACTAACAACTGCAAGTTGTGTACAGCTTGACCTCTGTATGCAAGCTTTAACAACACACACACACACACAAGTAAATATAAGAATATAAATACTAAAAAGATCCATCTTCAAGGCAAACTTTCTAACCAGAAAACTTTCCTATTCAATCTAAAAAGATTACCTGTATCTCACTGGGATTTGGCATTTAAGCTCTAAGAGTTTGCTCTGGGGGAGTGTTTCCAGAAAACACAGGCAGGCCTCCTAGAGCGAGCTGGTTTACCCGGAAACACTGTAAGCTCCAGCTTCTGGACTCTCTCATGCTCAGGTGACTGGCAGCTTCAGCTAGATATTCAGGCGCTTTGTCTTCATTCCCAACCTCATCAAATGCCTCATCAACCTCGGTCCATCCCTTCAGGGGCCATAGTAGACAATTAGCATTAAGAAAGTGAATCTTGAGCCTGGTTGCAATGTAGTTTGCCTTAATCCTAGCACTCCAGTTGCAGAGGCAAGCAAATTTCTGAGTTTGAAGCCAGCTCGTTCTACAGAGTGAGTTCGAAATTCCTGTCTTGAAGAAAGAAAGGGGCGGGGGTGGGGGGGAGGAAGAAAGGGAGAAAAGGAAAAAGGAAAAACGGAAAAATAACGGGGTGGGGGATCTCAGATTCTAAAAAGTGACCCAGAAGTCATGGTCTACTTCAAAGTGTTCTCAAGGGTTTGAGGAGAGAAAGCAAGGGAGGTTTGATCGTGGTGTCCTTACAGTATCGTTAGTTTTCCCAGGACACAAATTGAAATCCTGAAAACCACTAGATAAAAGCTACTTTCATTAAATGCTCGTGTAATTCTAGATAGACATCAGCCATAAAAACTAGGTAATACCTACTCGTTAAGCCAGAATGTTAGTACTCAGTACTTAGACTCAATAGTGAATAAATTATCTCTATTGGTTCTAAGTATAACTTGGAGAAAATAAATACCCATCCATTTTCGTTCTTCATTCGTTTGACTCACGTAGTGCCACGGAACGAGGCAGTCAAACTGAGTGTTAATTGTGCAATTAAAGTAAATGTGCACCCTTTTTTTTACATCAAACTCAAACCAAAATAAAAACGAAAAACCAAACATTGTTGTCTTGTATTTGGTTTATATGAGTTTTCAAACTCAAGCGATGCCTCTCTCCAAATACCAAGAGAGCTAAAGCGGTGGCCGAGATGTGGTAGGGGTATCTCCGACAATCAACAGCTTTCCCATCCCTGAGCTTTCTAACCCCTGGCCGAGTTCCTAACACTAGTTCTTCCGACTCCGGTATCCACTTGCGCAGTTAAATCTTAAAGGGTGACGAGAGTAGGAGGTTTTAAAGTCTGAAAGCAAGCGTCCTGGGGATCCGCCGCATCGCGACTTTACCCATCCAAAAGCGGGTCAGGCAGGCTTTCCCTCTCCGCCCTCCTCCCTTCCAGGTCCCTCAACTTGGGACTGGTCCTGTGCTTTTCTCAGGAAGATCTCCTTAGAATGGCCACACCAGCCGGATTAAGTTACCAGGGGCAGCAAAAGTGCGGCCTCTGAGCCTTTGCAATAGGACGCAGTCAGTTCCCGGCCTAGGACGCCCCGGGAGGAGGGGGAAGGAAGTGTCGCCACCGAATGGAAGGAGGGCAGCGGGACCCACCTCCGGCTCCCTCCCGCTCCCGCCCTCGGCCCCACCTCCCCCGGCTCGCACAAAGCCGTCCCCAAGGCGGGGACCGCAACGAACCAGGCCCCGCGCCCCGCGGTTCACGCGGCTCTCCGGCAGTCCAGAGCTCCGGTCGAGGACGCGGAGAACCCGGAGTCCCCGTGCGCCACCGTCCTCCCCTAGACCCTTGCCATCGACAGCCCCGGCAAAGGCCGATCGAGCCCCACGCCCGAGGTGGCGGCCTCTGAGCAGTGGGCCGCGCGGTCACCGGACGCGTACGAGCCAGCGACGTCGGGGCGCAGGGAGACCGGCCCAAATGTGGGCGCCCCTTCGTACTCGGTCTCAAAATCAGTCCCCCACTCCCGAGAGGTCCTGCCCCGCACCTGCGCGAGGTGGCGGGATGTTGCGTGGGCGGCGGGAGGGAGCGAGGCGCGGGCACACCCACGGACCCGCCATCGCGGCCTGCCCGCGCCTCCGCCCCGTCGGGGACCCGCGCTGGGGCGCACATGCACCCCGGCTCGCCGCAGTGGGGAAGATGGCCGTGTGTGCAATCGCATAAAAGCCCTTTGTTGAGCGCACACAAAAGCGGCCCAGACTGCTTTTCCAGCAGGCCCTTTGGCCTAATCGAAGGAAGTCGACTGAACTTCCAAACGGCCCAGGAAGTCTGAGGCTGGGTGCACCTCCAGGGAAGGGGGTAACTACAGGCCTCCCGCCACCATCTGCCAAAACCTCAATCAGTGCCCAAGGGTCCGTCCGGTCGGGGTAGTGGGAGCTGAGCACATTCGTCGGGGAGGAAGCAAAGAAAACCCACGTTTACTTGCAAGGCCCCCAAACGGGTATTAAACATTCACGTTCGTGTAGGGTCTCTCCCCTGAATCGGGGTGGAAATATCATCCGAGAGGGTCTGGATCCACCAAAAAGGAAAAAAATAAAAAGAGAGGAAAAAAATACAAAACCAAATCCAACAATAGCGACTTAAAAAAACACAACGAACCAGTTGCCATCAGCCCAAAGGGGCAGCGGCAGCCGCCGCCGGCGCGTGCGACCCACTTACTTGTCCGACTCTTGTGACATGTTTGATCCAATGAACTCGCTCCCCTTTTCCTGGAGCCTCAGCCTCTGGTGAAACTGGACTTTCAAGTCTGTGCAGGTGAAGGTGTGTGAGAGCGCCCGAGATGGCAGAACAAGAGCTACAGGTAATTCTGCTTTCGTCCCCCCTCACCACTCTCGCTCGCCCGCTCGCTCGCGCCCTCACCTAGCCGGAAAGGTGGGATGGGGGGGGGGAGGGAGCCCTCACATGGGGCCCGCGCTCGGAGGCGGCCCGGCGGCGCGGAGTCCTCCCGGATCGCGGCAAGGGGCAGACACAGAGCGCAAAGTGGCGGACTTGGGCGGCCACAGGTAACTTTCTCGCACGGCGCTGAATTCTTTCACTAAAGGGTACAAGCCCGAGGGCCGAGCTGCGCGGTGATTGGCTGCGGAGCTGCCTCAGGTGAGCTGCCATTGGCAGAGGCGCGCTCAGGTAAGGCCCTTCTCCAAGTGCAGGTCACTCACTGCGAAGTTTACCTGAGTGGAGCGGTGGCACGTTGGAGACTCTGCGAGCTGACTTCTACCCACTCTCGACTTTCTTCTCTGGCTAGGGGCTGGGGTAAAGGTGATGGGAGAGAAGGAGTGGGGAGCACCACCTGCAGACACTAGGTACTGTGGGTCAAACCGAAGGACGGCCGAGGGCTGAACCCAGAAATCAACAAGCCACCCGGAACCAAATGGCCGGTTCACCACCTGCCACTTGACACCCGCTGGACGAGAACTGTGCGACGGGCAGAAGAGTCAGGGAACTAGAGTTACGCTATGCTAGGAGTGGGAAAGAAACGGATTGCCGGGTCTCTTGCGTAATTGCATTGTTAGCATTCTTATCCACAACAAACTCTACTCGTGCTCTGATGCATAGAAGATAGCAGGTCGTTTTCGGTTTTCAAATAGTCAGCGACCTTTCCCGAGCTGGATCTATGAAGTGCGGCGAGGCTTTGATGGAGAAAGGAGATTCGGTTGAATAGACTCTTATGATGGCCTGGGCGCGCCTCTTGCATCTCTCCGCAGCCTGGGATTCCTGCGCTGCGGAACAACTACTGCATCTGTTCCATAAGCCTGTCGCCGGCTGACATTTCTAGGCAAGCATCAACATTTACATTGTAATTCAATAGAAGCAGCTACGACAAAGGCTCTTTATCCTCGCAGTTTAATATGGTTGCCAGGGGAACAACGCAGGATGAGACTGACTTGTTTGTGTGGTTTCTCTTCTGGTCCGGAACAGTTCAAAGTAGCCAGGTGTAATTTATAATCGCTGCTAAAGTATTTGTGGGAGTTCTGACAGGAATCTAGCCCATACATGCGGATTGTGGAAATACAGAATGGTATGGAAACCTTTGCCACATCTTATTTCAAGTCAACAGTGGAACACTGAAACTGTCAGACTTAACACAACTTCTGTATTAAACCTTTGAAGGTCACATGGTTTTGGGGAATTAAATTACGGGACTAGGTTTTGTTGTTCCTTATTTCCACTCTTAGCAAATGACGTTCACAATTTTATTTTTGTTTTAAAGGTAACATAAGCACCCATACATGTACTTTTTAGAAACAATATATTTTTAATAGTTTGAACATGGTATCCGTGTGCCCCTTACTTTCTTTTTCTCCCATCTAGAAACAACCACAGCCCTGTTGCCTGGTGTCTCTGTGGTTTGCTCCCTGTTTCTGGGTAGAGCATATCTCTTGATGTATCAACAACATGATTTGGCCACTTGCTACTCTTCATGAGCCGCCAAATCCTTTACTCTTTCACTTCCGGTTCCAGACCCCCAACATGGTTCCTTCTCAGGTTAGAGACTAAGAAGTATGTGTTCAAGTTTCAGTGGCAACAGAGAACACTGATACAGTGTGATGGTTTTCTTATAAAACTTTTATCTTTTGTTTAGTTTATTACTAACCCATCCTGGTATGTTTCTATAACAAATTTACCAAGTGACTGTAAAGTTTAGTTTCCAAAAGGCCAAACAGCCAATTCCATCTCGCTCCTGCAAACAAGCGTGCAGAACTCCAGCCCTCCTAAGCCAATGGAGATGAGCTGTTTTATGGCTGTCACCCTGGGACACCTTGTTCTATGTTGTGAGCCTTCTTTGAGGGTTTATGTTTCATTTCCCATAGCATATGGTATTTTCTTTTTTGTTTTATTTCATTTTGGGGGTGAGCCCTCACTAGTAGCCCTCGATAGCCTGACACTAGCTGTGTAGACCAGACTGTCTTCAAATTTGTGTTTGTCCTCCCGCCCAGTTACCAGGCATCCATCACCACACCTCTGCTACTTTAAGAACTCTTGAGTTTTTGTTTTTTTTTAAAATACAATTCTGTGACTTTGCCATGGCTACAATACTTTCCCCTGTCTTTTGAGGGAATCATTTTATTACAGGAGTTTCCCTGCCCTCCCTTGGCTTCCTCCCTTCCCTCTGGTGTTTGCTCTGGTGCTCCATGGCAAAGTCTCCTTCAGCTGTCTGCAGACCTTTCACTTTGCATATCCAGGTACTAATGAGGTCATGAGAACTTCTTCAGCAGGCTGTGGCGGTGGGGAATGGGCTTGCTCACTGGTGGGCCTGCTGTCTTTCCCTCAGAGCTCATAGAGCTATCAGGAGAGATCTATGATGTCTCTCACTCTGGCGCATTCAGCAGGCGCAGGGTGTCTGGACCAGCCTGGGCAAGCCCCCCTGCAGCCTTTCCCAGTCTTTCCTTTCCTGGAGGGCTCTGTCCCCGTCCTCTTGTGGATGGTGAGTCCCTGCTTCTCCAGCTTCTCCTGCTGGCTGCTAGGGGCAGGACAGAGAATCTGAAAATAGTTCTTTTTTTTTTTTTTTTTGGTTTTTCGAGACAGGGTTTCTCTGTATAGCCCTGGCTGTCCTGAAACTCACTCGGTAGACCAGGCTGGCCTCGAACTCAGAAATCTGCCTGCCTCTGCCTCCCAAGTGCTGGGATTAAAGGCGTGCACCACCACCACCCAGCCCTGAAAATAGTTCTTCTTAGGAACTAAAAAAGCTCAAAGAAAAGCTTGTGTAGTGTCTGACCCTGGGGTACAGTCCCATGAAGAGCTGACTTCCATCAGAGTGCCTTACATCAAGGCCACCAGACAGCAAACCCATCTCGGCATAGGTTTCCGAAGAGATTTCTATGGGCTTACTCTCTGTACCTGGAGAGAAAGGTCTGCAGACAAGTGGGAACAACTCAACCAGGGACCCAACACCTCCAGCTGCCAGTGTTTCCCTGGACCCCTGATTTTAGCTGCGTGTCTCCCTTATGCTTCCAGGATCCTGAGTCATGTCACAGTCCCCTTATGCTGGCCTCAGGCTCCAAGGCTCGGGTCATCCTGTGTTTTTAGAACAACTGAGCCTTTATAAGCATTCATGTGTAACTCCCGCTCTTCCCTTCCACCACTGTCCCCTCCACCACTCTTGGTTCAGGGTTCTATTTCTGTTATAAACACCACAGCCAGATGTAACTTGGAAAGAGTTTATTTCATCTTACATTTCTATACCACGGTCCATCCCCAAAGGAAGCCAGGGCAGGAAATGAAGCAGAAGCCACTCACATCACCCAGAACTGTGCTGAGCCATGGGGAAGGGCCACTCACCACATCACCCAGAACTATGTTGAAAGATCATATACTTATGACTTTTTCTTCATATTCTTTGTTCTTATGAACTTATCCATTTACGATCTCTTACTGTTCTTTTGGGGAGAGAAAACAAAGAATCAACGTGGGTCAGTCTGCCAGCTTTAAATATGTCTATTTCCAACATAATCCAAAAAGCTTTTTACCAAACTCCACCATGTTTGTTTGTACAAACAAAATCAGCGCGTGATCTGAATGTGGTCAGTTTGAAGCCAGGTGTGGCGATACATATCTGCAATCCCAACATTCAGAAGGCTGAGGCAGGAGGACTGCTGTGAGGTCCTGGCAAGCCATCCCTGTACTGCAAGACCCTGTCTCTATAACTGTAAAAAAAAAAAAAAATCATGACTCTTTCTGCTGTTTTATAATGATCAAGGTTCCCCTGACGTCTAATAGCTCAACATGGGTTAGATAATTTCGTTTTCCTCAGATAGACTAACCACTGTGTGCATCAGTGAAGGAAATTAGCAAGCAGATCATTTTCAATGTCTCCCATGAGGCCGGAGAAACGGATTAGCAGTTGTGAGCACTTGCTGCTCTTGCAGAAGAGCCAAGTTCAAGTCCAGCTCCAGGGGATCCAGTGCCCTCCGAAGGCACAGACCTTGTGTAAGCAAAGCACCTACACATAGAAAATAATAATAAGAATGATGATGACAATAATAATAGAAATTATCAACCATGAAACTGCCTCTGTTACCCAATTGTTTTGACTCTTTTGACAGATGAGTTAAGTAAATCTGAAAGTTTCTGTCTCACAAATTATGAAACATCTTCTTCTGAATATATCTCTATTCTTAATGCTTCCCACTGAACCTGAAGCCTAGGTAGGTGAGCAGCAGGAGCCTACTTCTTGAGCTAGGCTGTGTTAGCGTGTGAGAAGCATCACAGTGTCTACGGCCATTCCGCCCTGAACACGCCCAATCTCGTCTGATCTCCGAAGCTAAGCAGGGTCGGGCCTGGTTAGTACTTGGACAGGAAAAGCACCAAAGTGCAGCATTTAGAATAAAGCCACATATACCCAGCCACTGTGTGCCAGTGCTGGGCTACTGTGGGCTTTCCCTGTGTGGATGAATCTGTTCCTATCCTAGGCTTCTTTATGTGATGACTGGTTAATGTCCTTAAATAGAGCAGTTAGCATATCAGAAATGAATGAATGAATGAACGAATGAATGAATATATAAGTAGAAAGTGAACCTATAACCTACCGCAGTATCTATCATAACACTAGACTCTCAGCACAGCATAGAATTTGATGGTCACTTTAAATATTCACTATAAAACAGAAGTTCAAGTAAAAGTCAGGAATGAGTATTGTTCTCAGAGTGGCCTTTGGCAGACAATTAGAACAAAGCCTATCTGTTCCATAAAATATCAGAAGTGTGCAGAAAGCAAGTCGCCAATAAATTTATTTTAAGAATTAAAGTTTCCTTCAAATCTACTCATAGGAAGAAATTACATTGATTACTACTGTAATTCAAATAATGATT